CTTTACCTCTTTCCTGGGTGCTCCAGAGCTCACTAAGTGAGAAGGACAGAAACTAATTCTACGTTCTCGGTACTCTGAGGCGCCTGATCACCTGAAATATGTTGGTTCTGGAGGAACAGAAAACAAAAAAAAAGTGTTTTTCATTTTTATTTTAACAGGTTATTTCTAGAGAAGAAATGTATCAGGGCAGTGAGTTTCTTTCATTCTGGCAGAGCTTATCAAGAGAACCATCAAAAACCAGTGATCTCTTGTTGTTTGACTCCTAACCATTTTGTTTTATTAGCAGTTTAGCTATTTGTCTAGTAGGTCCTGTTACAGCACTATTTGTCTGTACTCTTTATTGACCTGTTATCACTAAACTGGATTTGAGTTACATTTTTTTTCCCCTTTTTAGACCATATCTTGAATAGATTATAGAGTCACAGTTCAATGTAGCACTTCATGCTCAATTTCCAAGAGATTCTATATGCTACTACTCGGTTTAAGTGCTATGGGCAACCTTTTTGTATTCCAGTTCCTGTGATAGTGAGTTTTGATATTGTGTATGCAACTCTAATCTGTTAGCCCTTAGCAAACACTTAAGCTATTGGAACCAGACCAAGCTAACATTTAAACTATGTAACTAAATCAGCTTTCTAAGTGTTATAGGTTTATCATGTCATTAATAACCCTGCTTATCAGAATATCTTTTGCTGGATCAGTATTACTAGTTGACTTACGTATTTTTCTCTGAAAATGGGTAATTTCCTACAGGTAGGATAGCATATTCAAAAAGTCAAAGTATTTGCATTCCTTAGGCTGTAAATTAGAGAACTGTGATTTTTATATCATAATGTTGGCAAAGCATGTTGTGTTGCATTTGCAATATGAAATGAACTCTCCTGCTACAGGTTCATCCGTTTGAGGGTTTGTTTTAATCTCTGCTTAGCGAAATTAGCCAGATTGTGTGCCCGTGAAGCAGAGAAGCAACACACACCGGCGTGAGCGTGCACTTCTCTCTGCCCTTCCTGCTCCCGCCCCAGTCTTTCTCCGAACTTGTTCTGGCTTTTTATTCCTGCTAAAGACCAGGCTGCAAAACTGGGGAACCCTTGAGAGAACTGTGCTGAATTGCCCTTTGTGGTCTGGCCTCGTGGTCACCAGCACCATACGTCTTCTTCGTCAGAAGTTTGCTTATGTTCATTTGTGGGTTTTTTTTAAGAATGATATTAAATGCTGTGAGTGGATGTAGAAACTCTGACTGTAAATGACTTGGAAGTTTGAGCCTAAAGTATTTATAAAGTACGGTACTTTGGTACCTTTCAGCTGGGAGCAGAGTTACTTATCCACGTGAAAAGGTCCGAGGCAGCTCTCGCATGCGTGCTGTGTCTGCAGTGCTTTGCCATCCTTGGCTAAGCAGCTTCCTGTTGGAACCACTCTTCCAAGTACTCATTGTGAGAAAACTGTATTTGGATAACTCAAACTCAGGTGTGTGTAGAGGCCATGTTTATTTATTTATTCCATTTTCCTATTATCCTATTGGTAAACTTTGCTTTCATAACACAGTTTTACCGATTTTACTTTGGAGGATAATTTGTGACTTAGACATCAGCTGATGAAGAAGGGGATGTCAGTCTGCTAGTTGCATCTGTTCTGGGCCTGACATTGTGGAAAAATTGGGATTGCTTGCAACATATTTTGCGCGTAAAGCTTCCGATAATTTCCTAGAGGGATCTTAAACTACTGTTACCAGTAGGTGTAGTTTGTGGCTGTCAGAGCCTGGTAGCTTCAGCTCAGTGCTAGCTGTGTTTTTGTCTTTTTTTTGTAGGTTTCTGGTGAACATGAAATAAACTTTTTGGGAAAGGCAGTAATATGGAACAGATTCAAACCCATCTCTATAGGCCTCTGTTGGCTACCTTGTTTCTTAATTTGCTAGTCCCAGATTGTGAGCTTGTATGTCATGAAAGGAACCAAGAGTACTTGGGGGGGGGCAGGGCAGGGCGAAGGAGAGTTGGGGAGGGATCATGGAAAGCTGTGCGTATCCAGGGTGTAGAAAAGGGAAGAAAACAAAAATAGTGGGCACGTGGAAAAACGCTGTGTAGCAGCAATGATCTCATGTGACTTTCATGGGTAGAAGTCACACCTTGTAAATTGCTAAAGCTTTTTGAAATTGGGAAAGGGAGAAAAAAATCCATGTGTTATTTGTATAGCATTTAGGCAGTATGTATATGATATACTGTTATTAAAGCTAAAAAAACTTTCTTTTTAACTTGGAAAACAAAGGCCTAAGAATAATTGGTTGGTTTTAATAACAGTAAAACAGACTGTTTTAAAATAAAAAAAAAAAAACAACAGACTAATGGGTTGGAAGAAGATTTTTTTTTTTAAGGGATCTGTGCTTGGGATATGATAGTCAGCATTTTCATAAATGTTACCTTGCCAGTATCTCTCAGATTAGAGTTTGCTCATGAAACCAAGTTACTGAGGGTGGTTAAAACTAAAACTTAACTGGAAAGCATTGCTAACGAGACTCTGTTACTTTGACTAAGGCAAGACATTTTTTTATTGATAAATGCACATGAGGGGTGAGGGGAAGAAATCTAACCAAGGCAAATATCTGTGATGATTTCAAAATCTATCACAGGAAAAAACTGCTAGCAGAGTAGTGATTAAAGAAGATACAGATAATGTTAGAAATTGCCAGTAAAGGCTTCTAGAGCAAAAGAGCAAACGTTAATGATATATTCAAATTTTGAATAATGGTGTAGTTTTTGTTTCATCCATCTCAAAGCGTGTGATAGAACAATACTGGGTATGTAAACTGTGATGATCAACATATGGAACAGCACCTATACCTTTTAAAAGCAGAATGCTTTAGCATAGAAATTATGTTCAAGAGGAGGAGGAGAAAAGGGCTATGATAAATTTAGAAGATTACAAATATTATGTAGAGCTAAATAGGAAAATATTATATTTTTTTCTTTAATGTAATTAGACTTTTTTTTTTCCCCTTGCTCTTTGCTCAGAAGAGTATGTAAAGGCACCTATGTAAAAATTACTGCTGCATACTAGAGTGTATTGGCAAAGTGTATCTATATGGTCAATTGGCACCATTAAGACAATCATAGAACCATCATAGAATGGTTTGGGTTGGAAGGGACCTCAAAGATCATCTAGTTCCATGGGCAGGGACGTCTGCCACTACATCAGGTTGCCCAAAGCCTCATCCAACCTGGCCTTGAACACTTCCAGGGATGGGGCATCTACAGTTTCTCTGGGCAACCTGTTCCAGTGCTCCACCACCCTCAGAGTGAAAAATTTCTTCTTTATATCCAGTCTAAATCTACCCTCTTTCAGTTTAAAGCCATTGCCCCGTGTCTTATCACTACATGCCCTTGTGAAAATTCCGTCTCCAGCTTTCCTGTAGGCCCCCTTTAAGTACTGGAAAGCTGCTATAAGATCACCCCGGAGCCTTCTCTTCTCCAGGCTGAACAGCCCCAACTCTCTCAGCCTGTCTTCATAGCAGAGGTGCTCCAGCCCTCTGATCATCTTTGTGGCCCTCCTCTGGACTCGTTCCAGTAGCTCCAGTACTCCAGAGCTGAATGCAGTATTCCAGGTGTGGTCTCACGAGAGCAGAGTAGAGGGGCAGATTACTGTCTGGATTACTGTGACTGGTTTGGGATTTATCCCAGATAGTCATGTACTGGAGAGGATCTGGTGGAGGATCTCAAAGATGGTTAGAAGGCTGAATCAAATGCTGTGCATGGAAAGGCTGAGAGATTAAGTTTCTTCAGTTTTAGGATAAGAAGGGCAGGATTATTGCTGTTTTCAGTGACCTGAAAGGAGGAGCCAGAATCATCTGCACTCTAGAGCTGTCAAGGGTGAGAGGCAACCGACTGAAGTTGCCACACTGGAAATTCTGATGAGATGTTGGGAAGTTTCCCCCCTCCCCCACAATGAGGTTAATCAGACATTGGGAAAATTGTTCAGAAAGGTAGCAGAAACTCCAGCCTTTGAAAACAGCCATTAACAACTCCAGTAGACAAGACCACAAGCCATCTGATGTCACTTGCTCCTGTTTGAGCAGATTTGACCACCTGATTTTCTGAGGTCCTTTCAAAGATGCCCTGTTCTGTAATGCCGCGGCTTTGTGGAATGTAAAAACATAAAGGTCCTAAAAGGCAGTGAACAGTTTCACAAGATTAAATAGGTACTGATACACTTTTTTTTTTTTAATGTTTATCCAGGAAGAACATCCGTTTCCATACTTTTTGCTTATATATGGAAAGATAACACTCTGCAATTTTTTCTGGTCCAGTTTGATACATGGCTCCGTGTCTGACGAAATACAGAGCAGAATGGCTGATGAAAATGACCACTGCTGGCCATGTATTCCCACTACTGCTTCTCTGGAAAGTTTTTTTTTAAAAAACAAAACAAACAAAAAGAACAAAAAGCATTAGTTTAGACCATGCATGTGATGGACACCATGCTGGGGCAAGTGTGGGAGTACCTTAAACCTTCTGTAGAACTTCAGTGCTGTATTGTTTTTAAGGATCTAGTGTGAGTGGTAGATAAATAAAATAAAAAAAATGAAAATAAAATAAAAATAAAATAAAATCTAAAATAAGTAATATAAATAATATAAAAATAAAATTAAAAAATTAATAAAATAAAAATGGGAAATAAAAATAAAGGATGGCTGTTTAATGTAGCTTAAAAATAACTTTGTTAATCACATGAGAGTTAATTTTTTGACAGGTCAGTGAATGGGAGAATTTTCTATATCTCCCTTTTGTTGCCAGTGTCCAGAAGAAGTTGTACTGTCAAGTAATGGTAGCTATTTCCTGACTGTACATTTGTTACAGTTAAAGTGATGAATGATAAAATCTTACACAAACAATTTATTTCTTTTCAACCTGTATACATATATGTGAAACAACACCACAGAGCTATGATTTTTGTTTGTTAACATGCAACAAATATAAACTTTCTCTTTTTTTTTTCTTTTATGTCTTACAGCATAAGCAGCACTATTATGGACGTAGACAGCACAATTTCCAGTGGGCGTTCAACGCCAGTTATGATGAATGGACAAGGAGTTCCTGCCTCCTCTGCAAAAAGCATTGCTTATAACTGCTGTTGGGACCACTGCCATGCTTGCTTCAGCTCCAGCCCGGATTTGGCAGATCACATTCGCTCCATACATGTGGATGGCCAACGAGGAGGGGTTGGTGTTGCTTTTTGTTTTCTCCCTCTTTCTTAGTTGCCAATATTTTACTCTTCAATGATAGTAGCAAATTTTATGTTTTAAAGTATCAGTTCCATAGGTAGTGGCAAACTACGATGGGGCCTCTGGCAGTCTGATATTAGGCATTCAGCTGTTGTCTTTTGCGTGGTTCACTTGGTTTGGTATTCTGTGGTTTTAGTTGAATGCCTAACTTTAAGAAGATAGTATGTTATTTTTCATAAATGATTTGAGGCTATCAGGTTTTTGATAGATGTGCTAACCTCAGCATCCTGAAGCTGGTGGTATATCTTTAAGTGCTTATACTTGGAATTAATTTTCTCAGAACTATCAGTGTACGTGTTCCTGCATATGAACTCAGGTGAAGTCATACATTGGTTATTTTTACAAATGGAGTCTCACTAGAGGTAAAATATATACGGATGGTGTAGTAGGGAAGATGTAAGACTCATTGACTCGAGAGAACAGTGTCTTACTAAAACAGCTCTGTCTTTAGTACAAGTATACCTTCGATAGAATTGCATCTAGTATTTTTTTTTTTGTTGAGTTGCATATATAATCATGTATACTTCAGTCTAATCCCTGGTCAAATCATATCATTTCCGTTGGTCTCACAATTTTAATGTTTCAAAACATCTTCCAGTAGAGTAATTTCAACTCTGTACTTAACTTCCTGCCCTCCTCAAGCTCCCAAATTACCTTTGATGCCTGGAATATGTCATGTAAACTACCTTTACATCAAACGCAAGCAATCTGCCTGCTTTTGGTGCTGTATGTGGCAGTTCTTTAATTTCTTGGAGAGCTAATATCAAATCTCAACCTAGAAGAGTCATTATTGTCTTTTGACTTTTTGTCCTGTCACTTCTCCAGAAGTAAAATTTTAAGCCATTACACTTTATCTTGAGTGAATAAGACATGTAAATAAAATGCCAATTTGCATTACTTTAAATAATTTGTTATGTAGTCGTGTCACTGAGACAGCTGTGACTCTGGTTGTGTTTAGCTAATCTTTTTTGATATGACTGAACTTTCAGCTTCGTATTTGGTGACTTTTTTTTGGTCCAAGCTCTAAGCAGAATCATCCATCCAGTGAGCTAGCTTTTTAGTCACTCATGAAATGATTTCTGTAGTTCTGTTCATAGGTTTATAAAAGTGTTATATGAATCCTGGACAAAACAAGGAAATGGATGAGGTGTATCGGTGTCCTGTGGGCTTTCACAGAACTGCATCTCAGGGGATCTTTGCCATCCCATCCATGGCCCCTTTTCATTTCTCAAAAAAAGATTGAAAGATTTTTCAGGGTGGGGTGTGTGTGGTGGTTTGGGGTTTTTGGTTGGGTTTTTTTTTTTTTTTTTTTTTTTTTTTGGGTTTTTTAATTGTATTTCTATTCACTTACACGATTAATGTGTAATATTTTTATTAAGAAAAAATAATGTGACACGATTTGTGAATATTTTTATTAAGAAAATGCCTGACCGTATTTTTCTGTCTGGAAGAGGAGGTTGTTGGAAGCACCATCTGTCTAATAGCTGTAGCATTCAGGTCACACTTTGTTATGTCCCTACTGGAGTTGGTTTGTTTTTTTGGAAAACTTTCCAGCGGGAGGCTATGGAAGGGATCTGATCCGGGCTGCTTAGTTTCAAGGGTCTGACTGCCACCTGCTGGTCAGGTGTTTAAGCGGTGTTAGAAATGATGGTCTTGTAGTTTTGGTGGGATTTCAGATACGACTTGACTACAGTGACTAAATGTGAAGACAGGTGGGGGTTGTAACTGCTTATTGAGAACTTAAAAGCAATGTGATGAGCATCCGTGTATGGTAAAATGTATCTTTCCAAGCTCAGATAATGGCTCCAAACCAAAGCAGATAGATCCATGAAGAGCCCAGGAAACTTTTTGGCAAAATAGTTTTACTTCCCAAAAAATTTTTTTTCAGAAATATTTTGGATTCAGCCTTTTAACAAGGATCCCAAGAAGCCTTGCCGGGACCTGTGGCGGGTTGTCATAAAAACAAGTCCTTGTTTTTGGGAGGGATTGCATTTCTGCAATAGTTCATAGTAATGCTCCTTTTCTGAGTGTCCTGAAGCCTGCAGTTTCTGATGGAAACAGAAATCAGGACAGTTATGGAGCTGTCGCAGAGCCAGGAATCTCAAAAATGCCAATTCTGTGGCTTTGGGGGAATCTCAAAATGCAGGAGCAGCAGACACCAAAGGTTTAGGGGCTTGGGCCTTATGTGTCAGTCAGTAGGTCTGGATCAGTCCTACAGACAGGCAGCTTTGTGTTAGTAAGCTAGGTTATCTGTATGTTATACAAGTACATAGCACTCCTGCGGCTGCTTTTCGTTTTGAAAATGCAATCTTTTGAAGATTGAGTTTTTAATCTCCAAAAGAGAACAATAAACTCAAATCCAATTAGTTTCCTGCAGTTCTGAAAACCTGTGTTATGGACAATGCTGTTCCTCGGGACTATTTTGCTGCTACAAATTAGGGCTGTGCCTCCCTTCACGCACAGACCTGTTGAGGAAATTCTACTGAAAGGCAAGTTCATGGAGAGTTTTTATTCTATAGTTATAGATAGACACAGTGAGAGCAGAGAGGAAAACAGCAGGAGTAAGTTCTCCTCCCCTTAATGAACGATTGTGCATGTGGCTGATCTGTACACCGGAATCACAGAACACCCATAGATTTTGAAACCTATGAGAAATTCTAACTTTCTTCATCAGGAATTGAGTATAAGGCCCTAAACCAGAGGTGTCTGGTATTCCATAAGGTTAAAACTCTGGTATCTAAACAACTGTATTGTAATTAAGAGTTTTTACTTTTCCACGTTCAAAGAATAAAATTATTAATTGCTTATGGGAGTAAATTATTTTATTTCTGTATCTGCTACCTAGCAAATGTAAATTTGTCATTTAAAAATGTTCTCTCTCAGCATCCAGTGGATACAGATGTTGAGTGCAAACACAAACTCTTTGCAGTGGATGCTGTGGCTCTTGGTTTTGCTTATCTGCAGGAGCATCTGTGTTTTGATATTTTATTCCAGTGACCTGATTTTTTTGAATACTTGCGGTTGTAATTATTTCTTCCTTGGTGAGATAGGAGAAGTGTGTTGCAAAATAAATGGATATTGTTCAGAATTCTTTGAAGTACTTTGTATTGTGAAAACAGACTTCTTTGCTAATCCAATATTTAGTTTTTTTTTTTACTGTTTTCTTTGACCTGTGTAAACTTACCACATTTTTGCTCTATTAGGTGTTTGTTTGCTTGTGGAAAGGTTGCAAAGTATATAATACACCTTCAACAAGTCAAAGTTGGTTGCAGAGGCATATGCTGACACACAGTGGGGACAAACCTTTCAAGGTAAGGTTCAGTGTAAGATATCCCTTATGTTAAGAGTGATCCTTTTTATTTTTCCTGATACAATATATTAATTGAAAAATGCCATCACAGGAGGATTTCTTAAAAAGTATCCAGTGAGCTGAGCCTTCGTCCTTGCAAGAATAGTGTCCAAAGGTCCTGTTCTGTTATAAAAACAGGTGAAGATACCATTATGGCTTCTCTATCCCTGTTTCTTTTAATCTATGAATGGTAGGGGAGTGTAAAACTGGATAGTGCTGAAGTTCGGTTTGTTGTGCATTTTCCAGTTGAGCTGCTAACACTGTAACAGTGAGATATTTTGCCTTATCCTTTACACTTCCACGTTGAACTTTGGATCACGCTCGATGGTGCATGTTCTGTGCTTGAATAAGAGCTGGTGTTGTTAACAAAATTCAGTTGAAACACAGGTACTATGGTTAACCTCTCTGAGAATGATGAGGAAGTCAGGAGTGTGGGACCGTTGAGCTGACTGTATTTCCTGCGTAGTATTTTCTAACTTTCTCTTTCTTTCTCCCCCTAATCTGTACCTGCAATTCTAGGTATAGTAGTGTTTATCATTCCCATATCCACCAATCCGTTATTAATGAGTTGCTTCATCCTGTTATGGATACAGTTGGGGCAGTTCATAGCTGTCAGTCCTGGATCACTTGATGGTAAGTCCCACCCACACTACTTCAGACTGAAGTTCTCCTTCCATGTAGGATATGAAAATGAATTAGGTTTTTTTTTAAGTTTAGGTAGCATTTTATGCCTTCCTCTGCCCCACCCCCAACCCCTTCAAGTTTAGTCACTGTATCTCCACTTTCTTCTCCTCTCTTTCTTCTCAGGTAATATCTCCTGCCTTTTATTTATTATTTTTTATTTAAGGCAGCTTTATTACTAAAAAAGACTTTTCTGTTACAGTGATGTCTTCCAGAATTTTATTCTGCATAGCTTATAATAGTAGTTGTGACAGAAACCAAAACTTAACTCAAAACCTAGAGAGTAAAAATAGTGCATTGCACGTGAAAAAGTTTTTTAATAAAGGTTAGACTTTTTCTTGATACTGAACTGTGTAGTTTAGTTTGAAAATTTCTGACTGACAGTAAATAACAACAGGAAACTTGCTCTTGAGGTTATCATACCCTTTGTTCAAAGGAGTAAGGTTAGCATGCTCTTGGAATCATAGCATAAGACTCATAGATCCCTGAAAGTTTGCAGATATGATGATTGTTCCAGCAACTGATCTAATCTTAAATGCTAATCCCTGAATAAAGTAAAAAACACCACCCAACCAGTCATCAGAGGAAACTTGAACCTTACATCTTCTAATTTTGGAATTAAGTATTTTATATACCCTAAAGTATAATGGCAAGCTTTAGTCTTGAAGGAAAGCCTTTCAGTAGGGTAATTTGTATGCTTATTTGATCTAAATCAAAGAAACTCGCTTTTAGAGGCGTTGGATTTAAGAGGTGGGAATAGCTCAGAAATACCCGTAGTTCTTTTGAGCCTGTCAGAGTTACCCAGCAAAGTCAGTGAAAGTTGGGATCTCAGTTTTTTTGGCTATGCTGGTTACAGCTAGAGCCCTAAAATTTAAATTAGTTCTGATAATAATCATCTTGCATTAAGTATGAGTTACTTTTTTTTTTCTGTACTTTTTTTCTGTACTTTCTGGTCATGCTAAGGGAGAGAACAAAACACAGGCTAAGGTTGCAGTAGTTAATCGTCGTGGCTCGGTGTGTGTCAGTGCAGCACTTTCTCCTGCTGTTGTCTTCAGTCCCTCTGTTTGTTTTTTATCTCTGTATTTCTCAATCTGTTCCTGGGGGTTTGTATGGAAGATAATTGTGGTCTGAGTAGAATTTTGTAACATCTTTTGTTCCCCTGTCATTTATGCTGAATATAAGCTTCAGGGCTCACATGAGGTAGCCAAGTATGTAAGTGTCTTGTGATGGCAACCTATTAATTAACTCACCCACTTCCCTCGCTTGCTTCTTTTCTTTTTACAAGCTTTTGAAGTCTGACACAAAAACACTTTTAAGTGTTGGGTATAAGTCCTGATTGGTCCAAAACCAGCCATTACTGATTGTTTTACCACAGTCGTTCCAAAACGGAGCAAATGTTTCCTTTTGGTGCTTTTAGCTGTTCTTATAAATCTTTGCTCACCTTTTAGTAAAACTCAGAGTTGGATTAAGGACCTCTTGTTCTTGATTGCTGCAGACAAAATATCTCCCAAAACCTAAATTACAAATGAAACTTCTGTTGCCTCATGAGAATATACTTAAGTTTTAGCATAAAAGGAAGGAACTTGTCATTTTGGAGAAAGTTACTGATTGTCAGGAGTTTTGAGGAAAGCTGTAAAAGGCAGTAATGGAAATAGTGTAGCTGTATGCTGTTTTCTGAAGAACTTGTGTTCTTGCTGTTTTTAAGAAAAGCAGAGAATGTTAACTAGGAAAGTGATAGTTAAAAGCATGGAAAATTTACTTTTGTAAAGGTAAAAGAATACTTTAATGACCAGAGGAGAGTCATAAATATATGGCAGATTGCTATGCTCTTGTCAAAATAAGAGGCAAAAGTATTTTCTTAAATTGGAAGGTTGTTGGGGACTGTCTCATGCATAAAGCTCTTTGCATTAGAACTGCTCTGTTGAAGAGTAGGTCCCTGTCTGGTCACCCTTTTGCTTGCAAGTGGACTCATTTTATGTAGTTGCCCATTTTGAGTTTAATTATCTACTTTGTGATACACATGATGGTGTCCTTTGATTAAAAGCAGTATCCAGCTGTAAATGAGCTGCTGTGCTTTCACATTAAAAGGTTTACCTGTCCTTTCCATTCATTCATGTAAACTACTTGACTGTGTGATTCATTTGTCACGGAAATGACCCCACTTCTAAATTACAAAGACAAAATGCTACCTATTTTCATAAGTTTCTCCTGGTTTTTTTTTTCCTCAGCATTAATTATGCAATACTTGTGTCACAGAAAAGGTAAATTGCCTTGTGAATGCCTATTTCTGAGACCTTTGTCATGCTAGCTCCATTTTCATATGGGGCAATTTCCTAGTAGTGTATGTCCAGCTCATAAGAAGGAGACATTTTTTATCTGCTAAACTAAAAGGGGGGAAAAAAAGATACCCTAGATCTTTGGACAGAATTTAGGACCTCATTTCCCCTTTAGTCATCCTATTGCTTTTCTGTTTGTTACCTCCCTTTTTTTCTAAGTTTTTAATACTGGTGGCCTTGGGTTTCGTGTGGAACACATGAATGGATTTTTTGCTTGGTTTTTTGAGACTATCATCACTAAGTTTTGTTACTGATGAAGTGTGTTTTCCTAGGGCACCCGCCAATCCTTCCACCAAAGAAAAAGTGTCCATTAAATGAGAGGTAGTTACCATTGCAGCTAGTTCTCAGTCTGTAGTCAATTATGATTTCTGCAAAGTGGCATGTTTGTCCAATCCTGGTTTTGGTAAGCATCCCTAGATTTGTTTTTCTCATCAAGAGGAACAAATAAACAAACTGATCTTACAGAACCTGTTTCTGTTTGAGATCTTGCCGGCCTTCTTTGGCCCACTGTTAGGTATTTTTGAAGTTATGCTGCTCCTCTTAATACTAAAAGTTCATTGCTTTTGTGCTGCTGGGATTTTTCTCTTTGCTTGTTGCAGTCCAATTCTAGCCACCTTTTTGTAATTTTTTTTTTGGGGGGGAGGTGTCATTGTGCACATTCATTTAATCTAGATATTCTCAGAGCATGTAATTGTTTCTCTGAAGATCATAGAATGGTTTGGGTTGGAAGGGACCTTAAAGATCATCTAGTTCCAAACCCCCTTCTATGGGCAGAGACACCGTCCACTACACGAGGTTGCTCAAAGCCTCATCCAGCCTAGCCTTGAATACTTCCAGGGATGGGGCATCCACAACTTCTCTGGGCAACCTGTTCCAGTGCTCCACCACCCTCAGAGTGAAGAATTTCTTTCTTATATCCAATCTAAATCTCCCCTCAAGCCATTACCCCTTGTCCTATCACTACATGCCCTTATAAAAAGTTCCTCTCCAGCTTTCTTGTAGACCCCCTTTAGGTACTGGAAGATGTTTAGTTACGTTCATGTTTGTGTATCATTTTCACGTTCAGAATTGAGAGAGAAAAAACTAAACATTCTTTTTTAGTCTGTTATTACAGAATTTCTTCAGCTTTTTAGAAACTGGTGGAGTGTTGCGGAGTATCATCAGCATGTAGTGGTGGTCCTGTTGAGTGTTCAGCAACTTAGACTTTCAGGCTTTCTGAATGTGTAGACAGGTGTATCTAGAGCAATAATCTGCTGAGTTAGAAAACCGATGCTGGTTACTGTCTTTGGCAAGCTGAGAAAAAGTGAATGAAGAAATTCTATTTTGCTTATCCTAAACTTGGCTGTTACAAATAGTAAATATTTGAATAGTTAAGGTGCTATGACAACCTTCATTTTCCAGCATGGTTTCCAGTACTCAAAAAAAAAAAACAATTGAAGTACTGCTCGCTGTCTTGTTGCTGTACAAGGCATTGAAAATTACTTGAAGACATATCTAATGAACTTCTAAATGTAGTTTAGATGACCAAATACGAGATGTTAGGCACAATGAAGGGACAAATGGTAGAGTGAGCACAAAACAGTGGGAGATTTTATGCAAAATAATTGCATGTAGCAATCTTCTGTAAATACAAGACTGCATGTGGTTGTGCTGCCAGCTACTTTCACATACTGATTCCCGTAGGTTTGCTCTTAATGTTGAAGGTCAGTCATGCAAGGTTTGTTCATGTTGGGTAAATGCTTTCAGTAACAACGAGTGACAGTACACAGGTTCCTTGGCGGAGTTCATCCGCTATTTAGAAGGGGGGAAGAAAGTAATAATAAAATAAATAATAAAATTGGTGCTTGTTTTAGCACCTGTAACTCCCAGAGTTCGTGAAGCAGTGACTGCATTCGGTATGAGACTCAGTAGAGTAACACTTGTTGAAATCTAGAAAACGCAGCAGAGCAGCTTCAGTCTTTCTCTTTCAGAATTCATGTCTGTTACTCTCTTGACAGAATATCTTCTACCTATTAGAGCACTGCAGATGCAGACAGAAAATGTAGAGGCATTCTAACTGAACGTTTAGATATTGAGACAATGAGAAAGTTTATCCGGATGTCTAAAATATTGCTGTTAGGTTTATTGGAAAAATTACACATTGAATATTCTAAAAAGGAGATTTGGTTATTTTGAATTTAGGAAAAAAACTGTAATGCTGGACATTTTTAAATCCTGTTTGTTAAAGTCACTGGTCATTAATGCCCATTAATAATGGTGGGTATGGGTACACTGGAGAAATTAAACTTCTTACGTGTTGACTTATTTTCTCTTGAAGTAACATATCCACCAATCCGGACCCAATCTATCATATTTAAAACTAAATGCAAAATTTTGAGATTTAGGTTTTGGGGGAAAAAAAGAAGCAATTGGTTTAAAGTTGTGCATAATAGTTGAGTTTGATTTATTAGAAGCCCTATAGATCTGTATAATTATCTGGTGGGAAGCTGATTTGGTGTGACTTACCGTCCAGAGATCCTGAAGTGACAGCCTGAACTGCTCCTTTATCTTTGGAGAGAAGAGAATTTACCCCTTAGTAACGGATTGCTGGATATATTATTTTAGAGAAAAAAAAAGAAACAAACAGGTAAGATTTTTCTCCTCTTCTATTATTTCCTGTCTACTGCAAAGGCATTCTGTGTCATCTTTGAGATGTATATATATAATATATATAGCTGTTGATGGTTTGATGACATGATCACGTAGTCTCAAACTACGCAATATCTGAATGTAATGATTTCTGCAAGTAATTCATACTATGGCTGCAGACTATAAACTGGCTTTCTAGAAAAAGATAATTTCTAGCTGCAAGTTGCTTGTATTGAAGATTTCAAGATGCTGTTTTGGGGCTGTTGAAAATAAAACTCAGGCAAGGCGAGAAAGTAAGTGGGTAGCTTCTGCAGATAAGCTGTATAGAATATCTGTGATTGTTTTCTTTGTAGATGACTAGGCAAAAGTCACGTGATGGCATTGTGAGCCAAACTGCAGTTTGTCATAAAACAATGTTTCCCATCTGAACTTATGTTTTAGAAAGTCTTAGAAACATGCCTGACACAGAGTTCATGGGTTGTTTCCAGAAGGTATTACCTTTTGATATTATACTTCAAATATGGTAAAGCTTGCACTGTACCAAGACTTCAGGTTATTTTTGACCTCCAACAGGCGTTGGCAAGACTGAACTTTTAGTTACTGAATGTGATTGAACTTCAGGGTATGGGGTATTTTTTTATGCTCATTTTTTTTCTGTCAGTGGTTGTAGAATCAGAAGGAGCTGGAAGCTGAGGTCAGGAGCACCTTAATGACAGTTAAACCAAAGTTTAATTTAGTTGCTTAGTTTAGTTTCATGAAACTGCTTTTATGGGCAAGACAGCTATTTCAAGGTCTTAAAAACTGGCGAATAAAAAATTGTTTGAACTAATGCACACATGTATTTTACCTGTATCTGTTGATTGTGAGTTTAATCATTTTTAATACAACTAAATGGGTCGGGTTCAAGGTCAGGTTGGATGAGGCTTTGAGCAACCAGCATCTAGTAGATGATGTCCCTACCCACATTGGGGGGTTGGAATTGGATGATTTTTAAAGATCCCTTCCAACCTAAACCCTTATGTGATTCTACAAGTATAAAACGTAATCTTTAGTATTAATTTGAAGTAATAAATATTGCCTTGAGGTTACCATAGTGGAAACGAGATCAGGATCTTAAGTGTATTGAATTTCATAGATGTGCTGGGATTTCCTGCAATGTAAGTCGCTACAATATAAGTACACAATATTGCAGCTGTTTGAACATGGGGAATATAGGGCAAGGTAATAAGGCGTAGGTAGATTTTTGGTAAAAATCTTCACAATTCTTAAGATACTTATTAGTGGGGGAGTCAGGGAGGAGCAAATACAGTATGAAGGATCTTAAAGCTTTTTGTCAGGGAATTATATGTCTGGAGTTAGCTCAGTATTTGGAAAACTTTCCCTAACTTCCTCTAAGTTTTTTTTTCCCTTAAAAAAAAAAAATGTAAAAAATGTCCTTCTATTTTTTCTCGATTACTGTCTTGAGCGAGAGAGATATGTATTTTTTTAGTCCTATAGCAAGTGTTATGTCCTTGGGGATAACACAGATTTTTCTCTTCATGGACATTATATTGTTTTATGATGATCATGGAAAACCATTTGCTACATTTGAGGCAGAAATAGACTTGAGTTCTGCAGCCACAGTTGGAAAACGACACAGTTGGGTTTTAGGGACAAAACGTGCTGAGTGGTGTTCTCTTTTCTTGTCTTTCAATCAAACGTGCAGGGTTGGGGCAGATTACTGTAAGAGCTTGCAAATTTATCCTTAGTCATCAGAGAAAACTTAGCATTATGGACATAGTTGCAGCATCACTTATTCCCAGACTCCTGGTGGAGCTGCCTCTTCAGATTGCTGTGAAGAGAAGTTCTGGAGAAGAGAGGTGCAGACGAAGGAGCTGAGAAAGAGGGGAAGGAGGGGAGGGAGCAGAACAGATGTGAAAGAAGAACTACTTAATGGTTTAGAGTGGTGATGGGTTTTTTTTGCTACTGACTGATGAACTCATTTGTCCTGCTGCAATTCTCTGAATCAGAAGAAAAATCAATCTTGTGGATGCACAATTTCATTGCAGCCAATAATGGAATGCGTAACTTACAAGGGTAATAGAAAAGTGATTTTTTTTAAGCTCAGAGCACGAAAGAGATTTGTGCATCCCTCCTCAACAGATATAATTTAAATACTCATTTTTCAAATGAAATAATTGTAAATATAAACCAAATACTTATAAAAATACCAATAATTATTGTAGCCAGTACTAGCTTAGTTGCACATATCTTGTGGTTTCTGTGTTTCTGCTTAATTATTGTTGGATCTTTCTTATTTTTCTGTTCGAAAGAGACCATTTTCTTTAAATAAGAACTTTCTTAAATACTTCTGAAGTAATAGTAGCATCCCAAAATAAATGTATAAATAACTGTTAATGCAACTTTGAAGTTACTGAAGTTAAAGTTTTAGACAGAACTGTAAGAGAATTGTATATTGACTGTATAGCATTTACAAAAAGTATTAAGCTATTTCAAATTTAATGTGGGTAAGGATGTATTGTTTTACTTCTGCCTTGTTACAAAAAAGGACGTTAGAGAACGTTACTGATATCAAATGCAGAAGATTGAGAGCTGTTGAGAAATGCAGAATAACTGCAGTATTTTGAAAGGCAAGGGGATGTTGGTCTGTGAAGGGGAAAGTTCTTCAGAAGCACTTATTTTCTGTAGGAAGGGTTTGTCAGTGCATTGTTTGAGGAAAAGATTGGGTTTATGCTATACAATATTATAGAATATAATACAGCATAGGAAAAAAATTATCCTATGGAATAATGATTGTGAGTTTTAAAGTTCAGATAGGAATTTTTTTCACATTATGTCTCATTTTTTCTTTTTAAGAATCGCATGGTCATTAAGAATTTGTCTTCCTTTTAGTGTCTTGGAGGTTGAGTGAGAAAAGTGAAACTGAAAGATCTGTCAGACTCCTGTGAATGAGAGCTGTGTAGCACGCTGATACAGTTCTGTTTTGTTTTTTTCTCATTAGTGTGTAGTTGGTGGATGCAATGCCAGCTTTGCATCTCAGGGAGGACTTGCCCGTCATGTGCCCACACATTTCAGCCAGCAGAACTCTTCAAAAGTTGCCAGCCAGCCAAAGGCCAAAGAGGAATCTCCATCTAAAGCTGGAATGAATAAAAGAAGAAAGTTAAAGAACAAGAGACGACGATCATTACGTAAGTACTTCCAGAAGTAGTTCTTGAAAGTTCTGTCTTAGATTAGGAAGCTCCTTTTCAATGTGGTTGTTTCTCTGCAGATGTGCATCTGGTAGGGCTGATGATCTTTACCATTATGGTGTTGGCATCCCTTGTGATGTAAGGAAAACAACTCCAGATTGTGTTTGTGTTCCTTAGGTAAAGCATCTATGTGTTCAGTAGAAAAGATCAGTTTTCTGTGAGCAGCAGTTTGAGCTTACAATTTAAAGATGCTTCTCGAGTCACTTTTTGCTTACTAGCTATATTACTGTTGGAAAATGTTCTGTTTGGTGATGGTGAGAGCTGAAGTTCAGTACTGCAGAAATTGCAGATTCATATAAATTAGAGAAAAATACATGTTCTATATGTTCTCTTTTGGACACAACATTCCATTAGCTTAATGACAGTTTTATGAGCATAACCAGGATCTAATTTTGGGCAGGTTTGACTTTCTACGGTTTTTTAATCTTTCTCCAAACAGTTGATGTTCATTAATTTTATATGAACTAATGTGTTGAGAAGTGTTAGTTATCATTTAAAGTGAGAATTGTTTCCTCTAGCAAGTAATAATCACTTAGCCAGTACCTTTTCTAGTCCACTTTGATCCAATTTTTTGATTCCTGAGTTGTCCTAGCAACAGACTAACAACCATGTCAAATTTATTTAGACATTGTAATGTACAGAAATGGTTAGGAGAGACTAGGGAATTGTTAAAAAAAGTTAACTTTGTTTTATAATCACTGTGGATGCAACTCTCCAGTACTGAACTGATTATTTATTGATTTTAAACTGTTACTGTGACGGTTGCATTTTAGAGTAGAGACATTTAAAAACCCATTTAGATTTTTTTTTCCTGCTGGTAAGTCAACAGCTGAAGAAAAAAGTTCCATTCATTTTTACCTGTAGTGTAAAGTCAGCCTTACAGTATTTGAGAGATGCAAGATACCTTTTTTATGAACCACTGGACCTGTTACATTGTCCATGGAAATGGAGCTCTGTTCATAAGCAGGCAATTATTTCAGTCCTGTCTCCTGGCTGGTGGTAGGATTTTAGTGATGGTGTGCTGGAGAACTTGTGTTACTTTGCTGGGTCAGCAATTGCAATCTTATTTTTCCAGAACTGTTCTGTGGCAGAACACTTTGCTGTATTGATCTTTCTCTTCCTGTGAAGAAATACAGTCACTAGTTACTCAAATAGTACTGCAACAATGGGCGCACATACTAGTGCTCTTAGGTGATTACTCTATGTCACATCCTTGTGATAATACCTCACCTGTGTTTTAAGCAAGTGGAGTTCTTGAAGCAGTGGTCGCGTTTCTGCCTTGAACTCAAAGAAGCTTGTCCTGGAAAGTTACAGTATTGCCTAGAATTCTGAAAAGTTTGTATTGTGTGCCTTTCTTCCACACTGTGTGACAACTATGCAGCTCAGTGTTAGAAGAGCCACTGTTAACTTTAGTTATGGTGGGTTTTTTCTTTTTCTTTTGCCCCCTTTTGGTTTTTTGGAGAGGACAGGGATAGAATGCTTGCGTATTCTTAAAATATATGTGAGCAAATTAGATCATTAAACATATATAAAAAGTGTAAACTTCAATAATTCCTCTAATTTTGACACTGATTCAACAGTCAAGGCAGAAAGTTTTCTCTTAAATTCAGAATTTGGCTTTTGAAGAGCTTTGCTTTTCGCTCTAGCAACCTACGTAAATAAGAAGGTTCAAGAAGGGAAGGCTGATCCATGAAGGTTCACTTTGCAGTATCCTTTTAGTTCACCTTGGATGTAATGAAAGAGAGACTTGAAATAGTTGCCATTTCCTAAAGAATTATCTCGATTTGTTGACTGTGATACTCAAACAAAATACAGATGTCTAGGACGGGTCACTTCAAAATTTTTACTTTCAGAAATTCCTGAGTTGCATCTGAGCTTGCTTCTCCATATTGATTTTGTAAGGTGGCTGACTTAATGCATCTTAATTAATTTTTTTCCCCCGGTATATGCAGAAGTAGTTTTTCAGGTTGGCGTTTTGTTAGGAATTGATGAACATTATTGACTTACAAGTTTCACATCAGAGCTTCATAGTTAAAACTTCCGATTCTCTGCTAATATGTTCTAGTCGTAATAAGAGTTTACTGCAGAATTCTTGAATGAATCTATGGCAAAAAATGTAAGTAGTAAATATTATGGGCATGTTAAAGACCAGACCGCAGGACTTGAATGGTCTACTGTCTTGATGAAGTGTTGTGCAGGAAGAAAAATGACAGCTGCTTGAGCAATTTTTTTATCTTCTTGCCTCTTGAGACAAATGCAACGCTGGCTGTGGAGTTTTGCCTTAAGGCAAAAATCGTCTCTAACTGAGTTGGGAACTGACTGCTGTAATGTATTTCTCCAGAGGGTATGTGACCCAGAAACGTATCCAAAGTCGATGGTGTTTTCTGAAATGCTAAGTATTGGTAGCTTTACTTTAAAACTTTGTCTGGATTATTGTTGATGAGGTGCACTTGACAAAAGGCTGATATAATTTTGCTTGTCATTGTTTCTTAGCTTGGTTTTACTTTCAGTTAACGAATGGAGAGTGCAAGTTTATGTATTTTGTCTTTACAAGAGCAAGGAAGGGCAAGGACCCTTATCTCAGAAACCAAAGTAAACTAAATGACCACATTAAGTAGTTTCAGTCTGAGATATATAAAACTAGGAACATAGATTTCTGTTTAGATATTTTTAAAGCGTCCAGAAGGAGGTGTTGAACATTTGTACCAGGTTCTCTGCAATTTGGGTTACAAGAAGTGAAGACAAATGGGTGTAAAGCAAGATGCTATTTGATAGTGTACAGTCTGTTTAAATCACTCACAAATAATCATTTGATGAAAAAATTAGTTTTATATCACAAAACAATTTTTCTGCTGCAGAAGTGGCCAACTTGTTCTATCTCCTTATGATTTGATTAGACCATAGATTTTTTTGCAAGGTGTAAGCAGCTTACTAAATATTTATTGGCAATTGATTGCTAATACATGCTGCTATTGAAGCATCCTTGTGTATAAATTCTTAATAGTTTAAATACAGCAGATCGATAAATTTGCTTTCTCTGCGTTTCATATCTGAAAGTTAGCACCCTTCTGAGAGACATTAATACATAAATGTAAAAAGGAGATTTTTTGTGGCTTTATATGTGACAAGAACATGATCTGCTGACTTAGACTATAAAGAGAACTCTTACTGTTACTTGGTATTTTTCTTTTATTTATTTCGTAACATCTTGCTGTTCTTAAACTGTTTGGTGTTCCTGTTTTCCCGTAAGCAGTACGTGTTGTTTGAAGTTCGGAAATTATTACTTTATGATGAAAACATGTATGACTATAGACAGGTTTATAGCTGGTTACATGAGTGGTGGTAGAGAGATTGGCTGATTTGTCATGTAAATTTTTGTGTTGCGCAGTAATTCAGGACTGCAGTCAGTAGCTTGCTTTCTCTTCTGCACATCTGTATACACATCCACAACTCCATGTAGTCTGTCG